GCCTGGGGGAATGCAGTTTGATGGTTGTTGGAAGACTGTACAGGGCATGGAGAGCCTGGTGACATCTCATCCTCGCTGCCTGTAGAGTGTGGTCCCTGAGCTGAATGTTATTCTAGAACTGCACTCATTTTTATCTCAAAGGAAACTAGCAAGTTTACTCCGAAATGAAAGCCTGAGAATGAACTATCACACGTGGAGTGGGGATGATGGAGGGCCAGGTTCCAGGAGCCAAGTTATTTGCTGGTGTAGATGTACCCAATAGTATTTTACAGCTGACATTTCACCAATACTGAATCAAGTGGAATCATTACCCTCAACATCTTACATATAACACTACTATTAACATGTCAGAATGTGATTTGCCTTGACTTTCATTGTTGACTTTCATTCAATTTCTTTTCCACTCTAACCTCCTGGACCTTTTTCCTTGCATTTGTGTTTACTCAGCTATTCACAGTCTAGTATTGGTGAATGTGATTTCCCTCTCCAAAGTGCAACACTTGACACACACCTTATTGAATTTTGTCTTGCTGATTTCAGACTGTATCTCAAGATTATTACAGTAATTTTGAATCCCAATCCTGGTCCCTAAAGCATTTGTATGCCCTGTGCTGTTAATTTGTATCCTACATAGATTTCATACATAATCACAGTTCATTTTGTCATCTAAGTCACTAATGAAAATGTACTTAAAATTCTTAGATACAGAATATAATTCTGTAGCTTATTCATGCGCTTATATTTGCCCTACTTCTTTAACCTCTACTCTGAGAATCTCCAAGAGGTACCTCAGTAGTTGCATCAGTATTTAATATTTGCACTCGTATCTAATCTGGTTCACAGAATCATATTTAAGTTATCAAACTCTAACAACTCTGATTGCTTATGTCCCCAAAGAGGGAGCAGCCTGTCACTTACTGAGCTGTGAATTAACTGTTCTGTCACTACTTTTGCATTCCAATTTAGAAATAAGTGACCAGAAGTGGACTAATGATGTTATATTTTTCTCATGTTCTATTTACAAACACTATGCATTTACTCCACTACATTTGTAGAAATCCATGGGCTTATAGAAAACTGCCTCTGAAAGTTTTACTGTATCAAGTGACCTACTTTTCACCTTAGTCCATTTGAACATAGCAGATATATTTATTATCAGTCACTGAGGCAGGCAATGTGGTATTGTTTTGTCTAGATCAGCATACTTTAATGGCCATGCAGTCTATTAAATATCTCTTACAGACTCTGGATTTAATAAATGATTTCTAATTGACTAGGTGTCAGTGGCAACATTCTAGAAAACTCAGTTACATGGGTTTTTCATTGATTTTCCCTATATTAGAAAATGAAATGTCAGATACCATTAATTGCATTTTCACAATAAGAAGCATACTGCAAAAGTAGCTGCTAAGTGAAAGCATTTCCAGCCTAACACGCAATAGAAGTATTCTTTTTAAATTAATCCAATATATAAACATTTATTACAGTTATGTGCCTCTGTGGGCCAAATTGATGTGAATGTAATTACAATCTATAATATGGAACCATTCTGCAGGCTTAAAAAATACATTCAGGTATATTCTGCACTCACTTATCCTTATACATTATACTACCTGCATCCAGCAACATAGAAGGTGGTTAACCCATGGTTTCTAGTAGTTCTTACCCACAACGACTGCATCATCCCTGACATCAGCTTGCACTTACTGCCGTCAATGGCTCAAAGACAGAACTGCTAACTTATATTATCTTATAAGTATACATGTTTACCCAGGCTATATGTCATTAGTAAGTAGTGTATGATCCAGAATAAAGTTTATGAGACTGTGACACACATATTCATTACCGTTGGTGTGGTCCCCAGTTCAAAATACGTTGGTGCATCTTTCCTGCTTTCCTGTGTCTGCATTGGTGTAGTCAGATGTTCATGATTACATGTTTTCTACAGATTTTCTTTCATGTGATCGTGTTTATTATGCCAGAATTGACCACTGGTCTCTATAGTCCTAGGGAGATGACATTAGCAGTCTGGATGTGAAAAATCATTTGACTATGCACAATTTACTGTAGTGCTAGAAGTTCTTATGCCTTTGTAGAGAAAGAAAAATCCATGACCTTTCTAAAGTATGTGATGTAGCATTCAATTTCCCTGCATCTGATCGATAAGCAAGCAGGAAATTATATCTTTTGCCATGGTAGACAAGCATAATTAAGCAATAAGGCAATGGAGGTAGTTGTGATTATCTTAGGATGCACCTGGGAGCTGTCTTGTTGCTATTTAAAAACATCTTTATGCTAGGGGAACTGTATTAATTTCTGCTGAGAAAGATAAAGTTGGCAGTTTGGAATGCTCACGAGCAACAGTTTCAGTTGTGCTTCACAGAGAGTAATATGGTGTGTTCACCCCAAACAACTAGGCTTCTCTTTCAGCAGAAGCAAAGATGGAGCAGGCTATAAACATTTAATTGACAGTTCAGACCCAGAAAAAAACCACAAAACAACCAAAAAAACAATTATGCTTTGCCTGGCTGCCAGTGAGTGCAAAACTTACATTTTTACCAGTTTAGAATAAAAATATGTTGCCTCCAACACTTGACTTCCAGGGAAGACATCTCTGCATAATTAATGTTATTGCATCCACATTTTAATTTATGCATTTTAATTATACCAAAGGCCCAGTGAATAATTAATTCTAGCAAAACAATGGGTCTGAAGCATAAGCTGAAAAGTATCGCTTTTTAATGGGTTTTGTAGATTTAAATAACTAATAAAAGCTATTTAAGTATTTGATTGTGAGAATATTTTGCTCTGATACAATCAAGTATTAACTACCATTATTGAGCAGCTTCTCAAGTGGAGAAATGTTAGCTCAGGCTACCTGCTTTCACAATTGGCCGATCTGAGTATACCACAGTACACTAACCCATCTGAGCCATATGCATGCAGGAAAGAGCTTTATTTGGATGTTTGCCCTGTAGGAAGGACTGACATGTCATTGGCATCATCTGTAAGATGTAAAATCAAAATTCCAGGCACAAAATTCCTCTTTGACCTCCCGTCTTCCAGCAGGTCAGTTCATGCAAGTTTCATGGGGAGATTTAGAATTGAATATAAAGAAATACAATATAGAATTCATTATCCCTCAGTTCAGCAATCTAAGAATTAAGGATGTAGGCCAGGTTAGTAATTTAGAGCCTTGCAGTGGTCAACAGAGAGAGATAGCACCTCTGGAGAGTTTCATCTCATCCTAAAATAGGTTTTTGAAATAGATGGGATTAATCACCATTTGGCAGTGGCTATCATTTTTCTGTTTCTGACAGAGGAAGCTTAGGATACTGCCTTAGACCATACACCTAACTTCCAGACACCCTAGTTTAGGTGAAATTAATTTCACTAGCAATGGTAGCCTCTAAACTACCGTGTGAGAAAGACCTACTGTCACCAACCTGATGGCATAAAGACCAGGGCAGAGCAGAAGGACTCACAGCACAGAGCTGTCCGAAGCTCAGTGTGTCACACTGACAACCAGCACCCCTGCTGCTTGGTCAGGTCTCAGGCTCGAAACATGCGACACTCATTAAGAAAGTCCTTCCCCCTCTGAAAGGCTCAAAATATGCATTCGTGTTGATCTGCTGTGCCCAAAGGCTTGCCTCCACCCTGGCATGGCCCCTGGAGCAATGCTGGGCAGTGTGATGTGCTAGAGGCAGGGTGTCCCAGATGTGCAGTATGTCCTGGGTTTGGTGTACTCTGAGTTTGTCATGCAAAGGGTGGTGAAAGCATGTAGACAGCAGACAGCACTGACTGCATAACATGGAAAGCCTGATGGCAGAAAGTACCCATTTCTTTAGGTGAGTAAAATGCTAGAGTAAATGATGAATTACTGCAATCCCTGGCAATATATTACATACACTCAAGTAATATCAACTTGTCAATACAAATAGAAAATGAATTGCTCTTACCAACTTTTTTGTTCATGTTTTCCATGTCAGAAGTTTGTTCTTTAAAATCTAATATAAAATGTTTAACAAAGTGTCATAATAATCACAATATAATGAAGTCCTTGTAAAAGAAATAAGGTTGGCAAATGCTGCTGCCAATTTTGAATATCAGGCCTCTTGTTTAAGTGCATTATTTAGAGCTCAGTATCTTTTGGCTCCTATGCTTTAAGTTTTCTCTTTTCCATAATATTATATATTGAAATCAAAGTACTTGACTCTCCAGAGCACCACCTGAGTCATTAGGGAGACATGGAGGGGGACTATGGAGGAACTAATTGTGTTTTCCCTGTTTTCAACTGTATTTGCCTGAGCCTGGATGTGAGCTAGGGCTCTTGTCAGTCGTTATGGTCTGTGTCGGGCAGGTGACAGTTACATTCAGTTTGGGTGGGTGGGATGGCATGTCCCTTCACGCAGACATGGGGAAGGGACAGGGTGGCACAGAAAAGGCTCCCGCTGAGGTGGCTCTGCTCCAGGGAAATCTCAGCCAGCCATAGCCAGCTGCTGCCTGGCCCTGCTGAATATTTCATAGAAGGTACAGAAGAAAACCTGCCTTAGTATCAGACTAAAACTAGTTTCTTCTGAGCAATAATACCCGAAAAAGCAGACACGCGTTGGTGCAAACTGGGACAGCGCTGTAACAGTTAACAGCCTATCCCTGCATACATCCACCTGGTGGCTTATGTCTTCGTCACTGCTGAGCTCTCCTTCCCAGGGGCTAGGCAGTGTCCTGACGGTATTCCTCTATACCCCATTCCTCTCTACTTTTCTTACTACAGTACCTACAACAAGTAGTAAGAATAATTATTCAAGAAATACAACTATTTTATTAAACCCAACTTAAGACCAAAACCTCCTTACCGTGTACTTTGATACTAGGATGGAGCCCCGTGATCTAGCAGTCCTAGTCAGTCTAGTGTTTTTAATGTGAATGACAAAAATAGCTGCTGAAGCATGAGCTCACGATCTGTAGCAAAGTGTCTTCCTTTGCTTCTGCCTTTGCAGGACTATGCTGAGAAGGAGAAAGCTGCAGCCAAGGCTCTGGAGGATGTGAAGGCTAACTTCTACTGTGAACTATGTGACAAGCAGTACCACAAACACCAGGAATTTGACAACCACATCAATTCTTACGACCATGCTCACAAGCAGGTAAACCTGACAAATGTCTGTGCATGTTACAGTAGTCCATCTTCCTTCCTCATTTATTGTGGGAGGTTTCTAAATTCACTTAAGTAGAAGACAATTTAACTTTTGATGTTTTCGACTTCAACATGCTGTTTTTCATTAAAATAAAATGTAAAATATTCATTGTTTTAATCTTCACCACAATTTCTTTTAAGCCCCTTTGACTGAAAGATCACTGTCTATATTTAGATAGGTGCTCAATACCAATATTCACACTGAATTTGATACATTTAAATGTGGAATTGCTTATAAACTAGAGGGAGAGGGAAGGATCACTTCCTCAAATATCCAGGTCCCTCTTTTGGATGCAGAAGGTATATGACCATGCCGTTTCAAGCTGGTCATGCTGTTTCAAGGGCAGAAAAGCAGTTTATTTTTTTAAAAAAGCAGATGTTTCTGAAGTTGAAATCTATGTCTCATAATGTTTCTTAGGGTGGAACACATTTTGCCTTGCATGCAGAACATAATATAAAATAACGGCTACTTTTGAAAAACAAGATATTGGATTATTGAGAAAAGATAATAGATGCTAATTGTTTGTCATTGCTTTTGTATCAACTTTATCAGATCCATATGTGGTAGGTATATCCTACCCGTATATACCTATTGTCTTTCTATGTCTGCTTCCTGCATCCTAGTTTTCCTCCAATTTTAGCAAAATTGATATTTCAGTTGGCATTATGGAAAGAAAATGCAATTAATTCACATAAACACTTCAGAATTTGAAGAAAATTGTTTGCAAAGTTCAGGAATGAGCATTTCTGAACTTCTGATGAACAGATCATATCTGCTAATCTAAGATGTAAGAAGTTAGAACATGTAACAGGATTCCATAGATGTACCTTTTTCTCCTGTTTTTCTACTAGCGCTTACATGCATTACACAGTTCAAGTTGTCATGTATTGTGTGCATTCAAGTTGCCAGGGTATTAGCGTCTTCTGGGTGATCACAATTCTGGGTGCACGGGGGTCAGGAGCTACCTTGCAAATACATGAATCATTTAGAAGCCGACGATATTTCTGACAGAAGACTAGAAATAATTGTTGAGTAAAACAAACAGCGCTAAAGGCAAAACTCCTCACTCTCACTGCAAGCAATCTTGTCTTTTGCAGTATTATAGAGGATGTAAATCAGCCTGGAATTTTCTGTGTGCATCTATCACAGCACTGCATTAACAAACTGCCTAACATTTGCCCACCCATCATGCTGAACCATCCTACTGAATTCAAGCAGCCCAGAGTCAGCTATCCAGGGGTATTAATGGGACTCTTTCGGCCCATCGGTCTCAAACCAGAGCTAGATTCGTCTAATGTATTTATGTATTAAATCAAAAGCAATTCCTCACATCACCATTCCATAAATTAATCCATAAAAATGGTTTTACTAATACAAAACAAATGCTCTTCCAGATCCTAAACATGTGACTCTAATCCCTCTAAATCCCCATTTGCTGCACAAAGAATTTTTTTCACCCTTCAGCTGTTATTTTTACTCATCAGAAATGCATCTGAACTCAAATGGATCCATTTGTGCCCTTCCCTCTTCACACACTCCCCCTGCAAAGAGCAGCTTATGCAAAATAAAACAGCCTGCTCAATGCACCATCTATGATTGGGTTGTTGGGCAGGGGAGGTTGTGTCAGGTTTCTGTGATAAAAAGGAATGTTTAAGCAATAAAACTCTTTTTAATTTTTAGGTAAATTCAGTGCTTTAAAAGCTGCCAGACATAGTACTGGGAACTAAGAGTCCGCATGGAAATGCACAACACATACGGAATATCAACTGGCAGTACAAGCTCACCCCATCCTGCCCTTTCAGATGTAGTTCAGAAGCTCAGTTAGCTCAGGATTAGCTAGCTACCCTCCTGATGTGACAGGGTAATTCAGTCTCTTCTCCCCTCTCACTTCTTGACTGCTCAGCCAAGTCTCGGAACAGCATTAGTTTGCCTCTAGGAAAAGCGTGGATGCACCCTTTTCTCTGACTTTTATAGTCGGTCACAGAAGAGCCTTTATTCTTCTTACTTTCATCAGAGAAATCTTCAAAGAAAACAAGTTAATTTATGGTTTCCTGTGGTTTTAGTTAGCTTAGTTTCAAAATGTTTGTACTGAGAGGGATAGTAGCCACCAGAAAAGCTTCTTTCTCCTAAGGTATGTTTTCTGTTTCCCAGCAGAAATTTGAGGGTACCTTTAGTCATCCACACGGATATGTTCTAAGCATCATTCTTCTAATGGAGAGCAAATGAAAATGAGGGACTCTATACGTCTCAGTAACAATACAGTGTAGTCCTCCCATGTGATTTCCCATTTAAATGCTACTACTTTGAAATTTGTATTAAAGTGGCAATGCTGTTTAGAGAAGATATAAAGGCAGAAAAAAGGATATTGCACTGATTACTTCGTCATAAGTCTTTTGTTTCTTTTCCAGAGGAAACAGATTTTATTCAAAGAATTATGACTCTAATCTCCCAATATTATGGTTTTATAAAATTAATTTTGTGATCCATTTTCTTATCTATGATTTCAACCAGTTGTTAAAGCAGAAAGCACTGAGTCTTGGACCTAGCAGTTGGCATACCAGACATTGCCTTCCCTGTCCTCAGAGCACTGCAAAATGTTATGATGACAATCTGGCCTTGTTTGCGTAACTGGTTTTTCTGCTGTGTTAGGTTATTCTAAAGCAGTATACTCAGAAAGACTCTCTCTCTCTCTCTCTGCATGCTACATACATTCATACTTATATATATAAAAATACTATGTATGTATGTGTACATATATACACACATACGCATACAAAGAAACCCTTGACAGAACATCAAAGACCTCCCCTGCCTATATCTTCATTATCTTCTAACACTGTAATGGCCCTGGAGGGGTCTAATATGATTTATGTATTTTTGAGTAATATTGTCTGAGTATTAAGCAGCTGTTATTTCTTTGGTTGTCTTGACAGATTAGTCTTAACGTTGCCAACATCTTTCCTGACACACTACTCTATAATAATTTTTCATTGATATTACCTGTTACTGGAAATTAATTTCTTTCAGTGCAAGGCTGGATAAAGTGAACTCAGAAAATCTGTTTGAGTGGAAGGCTGTGCTCCCACCCAGCTTTACCTGAGCTCTCTGTTGTTAAGCCTGATACTTAACAAGACTGAGGCGGGAGTGTGGGTGACTTTCCTGGGAGCACCTAATCTTTCATCACTGTACAGCCCTGTGCCTCATTGGCCCCGCACATACCAGCTAACCCACTTGAAATCAACAGCTTTTTCCTTTGTGTTTTTCCTTTGCTATGGAATCTATGACTTTATAAAGTCCTGGGCAGCAGTCACGGGCAGTAGCACATTTGACAAATCTGCAGTATCTCTCATCAAGCATTAAGGTGAATGATGCTTACTATCACTTGCTCGCCATGTTCTCTGCAACAAAAGTTAACTGCATCAGAACCGATTGCCTTGGCACTGTCTAAACTATCTGAACTCTGAAAAGGATAAGGGTCCTAGTCTGAATTCATTCAAAAGTGATTAGTATATAGATAATCAATATAGGTTGCTGCCTGAAAATGTAATATATGTGGATGTATGTTACATGCTAAGCTGAAAATAATATGGAAGTATAGATTTTTTAACAGGGTTGTTAAGTCATGTGCATCTATAAAAGGAAACCAAACTCGAGCAGAGATGTCTATTTGGTTAACGCTATTAAATGGAATCTTTTAATACCTCCAGGTCATGCATAGCATTCATCCATTCAGTTAATGTTGAAGTAGCTGGAGCTTTCAATTTTTGTATAAATAATCCTTAGCAATCAGCAAGGCTTTTAAATGTCAGCAAAGGAGAAAATCACAAATCTGTTCCATGTACTGCAATATAATAATTGTGATGATGATAATAATAATAGAAATAAGCAGCAAAGAAAAACAAGACTGTGTTGCCATCTTGGGGTTTCTGATGACAAAACAGGTCTTTCAGTTTTGTTGTCAAAATTTAGCCATACAGTTAAATACATCACAGTCTTTCATATGAAAAAAAAAAAAAATCTGAATTTAGTGTTCTTGAAGCAGGCAGCACTGTTTAAGCAGGTGAACAGAACTGTCAGTCTCCACTAGTTCACATGCGCATACCTGTATCTCAGTATTTAAATCCAGGCATACTAGCACTTGGCTATATTTTTTGCATGAAAGTCTGATTTAGTGTGTACAGCTATGGGCACTTGCTGTTAAGCCTTTATGGTGCTTGTGGATATAAATTCTAATTCAGGCAGAGATTTAGCTCCTGTTAAACATCAAAGCTAGCAAATATGCTTACATTTTAGCTAACGTTGCCTCTACCACCTAGAAAATGCACAGATAAGTGAACACAGGGAAAGCTCCAGGAATGAGTGTAATGCTGAGATCTTGTTGGTTCATCTTTAGGGTGTTTTTTCCAGCATCTGCATGTTTATTGGAGGAAAAGTAAGGCCCTTTTCGCTCTAAGACACACCTCTCCTATTACCCCAAAAATTTTCATTTGGAGGAAAGGGAACTGGTTTGGCAATATCTGAGAGATTTCACCTTGGGATCTGGGAAATTAGGCAAACACAGCAACACCAAGAAACCTTCTGGACAAAGTATCATATATTTAGCCGTAAGAACACACTAATCAAACAGAAAGGGCTACACCAGCATGAAGGTCCACTATTATGTGTGCTTGTGAAGTCTCTGCTTTTTTCCCTTGATATATAGGTGGACCCACTGTCCCTCTTGTACTCCCACGTGGACGAGGCTAACATCCTTCCCTGCAGCCCCTGCTTCTGTTTCTCTGCATCAGGACACTGGCCATTAAGAAGGGCCTGCTTTTTTAGGGCCAGGTTTTGCACGAGGTCTGTACTCTCTGTGGCCTCCTCAGAAAATAACCTGAATGGCAAAAGACCTCAGCATTTCTTGCTCTCAGTTAGCGAGAGGTGCTGTCTGCAGCCATCAGCATTCTGCT